AATATAAACTTACTAAATATTTCTGTTGTATGAGAGAGTCATCTATTGGTGAACTTGTGAACTAAAACTGTGTTAAGATAACCTGGGATTACAGTCTGTTGATTAATGAACAACACTTGTTGTAAATAATGACATAAACTTACTAAATATTTCTGTTGTATGAGAGAGTCGTCTATTGGTGAACTTTTGAACTAAACCTATGTGTTAAGATAACCTGGGATTACAGTCTGTTGGTTAATGAACAACACTTGTTGTAACTTCTAATATAAACTTACTAAATATTTCTGTTGTATGAGAGAGTCATCTATTGGTGAACTTTTGAACTAAACCTATGTGTTAAGATAACCTGGGATTACAGTCTGTTGATTAATGAACAACACTTGTTGTAACCACTATCTAATATAAACTTACTAAATAATTCTGTTGTATGAGAGAGTCATCTATTGGTGAACTTGTGAACTAAACCTATGTGTTAAGATAACCTGGGATTACAGTCTGTTGATTAATGAACAACACTTGTTATAACCACTATCTAATATAAACTTGCTAAATATTTCTGTTGTATGAAATAGTAATCTTTTTGGTGATCTTAGTTTCTGAGCAATTGATGTATACGGACATTTTATAAATTACGTACAAGGCTACAATTTTAGATATTAAAGGATCAATTAACCATTAATTCTTTACTGATAAAAGCAGGTATTGTTATTGGCAAACTACCACAAAAATTGAGATATTATCTTTGTATAAATTTAATTAGTTATTTAAAGATCCTTTAAGTAGACTAGTTTTAAGTTTATGTTTTAGGTAATTACCGTGGAAACATTGTTGATTACAATGAGTATCAGATTCTAAAAATATTTCATAAAATAATAAACAATTCACTTGGTTTTGTTTTTCTTTAAGTAGTGAGCTTCAATTTACGAGTGTCTTGTTTCTAAGATCTCTAGGGAGTTGAGTGTAAATTGTATATGATTTTCCATAAACGTTTTTTTATTTATAATTGAAGCAGGTATAAAAAAAGAAAAAATTTGTAAATATCATCGTTATTGAGGTTGTTCCAGAACGATGAGACTTTGCAAAAGACACATCTGTTAGCCAAGTTGTATCCTTAAGATCTTTGTAGTTATATCTGATGATTAGAAGTTAGATGGAAATAGTTGTGTTAATTTTTTTATTATCTGTTTGTTAATAAATTGAACACTATTTATTTTGCAGACTGGTATGACATTTGTAGGAGTTGTAGGGATGCTAGATCCTCCGAGGAAAGAAGTTTTTGACTCTATTCAACAGTGTAGGGCTGCTGGCATCCGTGTGATTGTCATTACTGGTGACAACAAGGTAGGTCTGCTTCACATGCATTTGAAGACTTCGATCACGTTGTATTATTTGATAAGTACTCAGTAGAAATTGACTGTTGTTATAATGCTAATTTAAAAACCTGAAGACTTCGATCACGTTGTATTATTTGATAAGTACTCAGTAGAAATTGACTGTTGTTATAATGCTGATTTTAAAAACCCGAAGACTTCGATCACGTTGTATTATTTGATAAGTACTCAGTAGAAATTGACTGTTGTTATGATGCTAATTTTAAAAACCCGAAGACTTCGATCACGTTGTATTATTTGATAAGTACTCAGTAGAAATTGACTGTTGTTATGATGCTAATTTTAAAAACCCG